AGAGGGGAGGTGAGAAAGCACCGTCCACAGGAGGATGGCCACATCACAATCCATTCTCCTCTCAAGATTTTGGGCATGCACATGTGTGTGAACACACACACATGGTGTGTTTTTCAAGCTGCTGGATCTGGGATTCAAACCCCACAGTCAGCCACCTTGGCCACCATGCTACCAGCTGGTCCCAGCAAGGTTCTTTGGATCTGGGCCACAATCCTTTACAATGATGTCATTGAAAAGAATTCTGTTCCCCGACTTTCTGATGATCCCTAATAGCTGCATCAGTGTGTGATGATGGATAGACATGGTTCTGAGAGCTTTGTAAGTTCTCCGAATGCCTCTGGATAATAAGAATTAGAATAAAAATATTTTTTTAAATTTCATTTATTTTTCAGTGAAAATTGATAGAAGACATATAATCCTATTACCCGAGTATTTGAGCAATCCAAATACTGTATTCCCTGCTAACTCTCCTGCCCAGAATAATATTTTATTGTGATTCACAACCCTCTTAAACGTCAATGCGAGAGATGTAAGAATAGTATCTTTTTAGCCTGTTTACATAAATTGGTTTTCAAAAGACTCCTGCAGTAAAATTTAAAACAGAAATGCAGATGAAATAAATTTCACTTTAGTTAAATAAAATTAGCCCTTAGATGAAAACCTTTGAATCTCTTCCAGGCTCGCAGTAGATTACAGTGTTAACACACTCGTTCACGCTCTCTCTCCCACTCTCTCTCTACCAGAATAAATAAACTTTCTATCCCTCTCTTTTGATAAATAAGCATTTAAAATATATATATATATCTTTAAGGGACCAACAGGTGGCTGGTAGTTAAGGTGTTAGACTCCCACATGGCTGACTATGGTTTGAGTCCCAGAACTGGTGGCTTGAAAGTCATGCCAGGCGTGTGTACCTGTGTGTTCAAAATCCCAAAAGGAGAATAGAAAAGGCACTGTGGTGTGGCCATTCCCTCTGGGGGTGATCTCTCACTATCCCTCTCACGATCACTTTCTGTCTCTTTTTAGCAAGCACACATGTCCTATCCAAATTTTTACAAGACCCCCAGTCCTTGCCAAAAAAAAAAAAAAAAAAAAAAAAAACTTTTAAAAGATAACATTAAGAGCCAAGTTAGAGAACAAGTTCAGACATTAATTTATAATGGACATTTAAGATTTTTTTTTTCCTTAGAAGTACTTGTCTTCTCATCTATAACAGCACCAACCATTAAAACCTTTTTTATTTTTTGAGAGGTTTTTGCTATAGGAGTGTGTGTGCTCTCCAGAGAGACAGAAAATGAGAAGTCACTGCCCTGGGGGAATGGCCACACCACAATCCCTTCTCCTCCAGTCACTTCTCAGGATTTGGGGCACACATGCTCACGCACCCAGCATGAGTTTAAGCCACCAGGTCCAGGACTCAAACCTGGTCGACTACATAATCATTATGCCATCTGCTGGTCCCCAAACTTTTCAAATACTAGAAGAATGGTTGTGAAATAGAGAATTTTATAAAATAGCGAACAGTTATTAGATAGAGGATACAATTAGCATTCTCCTGACCCCAGTACTGCAAAGGCTCAGAAATACAAAAATTCTATAAAATGACTGAGAGATCTTACATTCCGTCCTGTATTACATCTTGAAAACTACAAATAGGCACGCCTAGGTCAGGGGCTCTTGACAGGATAGTACCTCCTGCTGGGAATTGGTATAGAAATATTATAGGGACACCTAGTCATCAAAATGGCAAAAGAGGACCTCACTGGCATTTAGTTGTGAGAACGAGGGTATAAGAAACCCTGCTAGGGAGGACAATCCCTTAGTGGGAAATCTTGGGGTAACCTCTAACCTCCACACATTTTGTAGATGAAAAACTTCAGACACCTGGATGTAAAACTGCTTCCCACTTTAAAAACTCACAAAGTATTTTTTTTCAACTACTTGAAAAGACCCTGAATTTTCCAGGGTTGTAACTATCATGCAAGTGAAAGGAAGGCCATTCACACTTCATTGTACATGAATTTTATCAGGAGCTCAGCATTTTAGCAAATCACACCACTGACTGGAATCTACAGGGATTCCATTGATGGAATCGAATGCCCTTACATTCAAACACCCAAGCATAAACTGTGTCTGTGTTACACTTATGTTTCCAATATTATGACACTAAGTGTAAGATATGTGCAAACAGCTTTTTCTTGTACGGGAAGGCTTGGGTCAACAGTTCTGGTTTTAATCTTCAGCCCAGCATTTGCTTTGGTGATCTTATGAAGACGTAATGGATGTATCCTTGCCTGCTTGCAATTTTCTCAAGAAGAATGCGAAATTACATAGTTATGCAAGACTGTAGCAGTCAACATTCCATGCAGTAACTTCTTAGAAAAAACACTTTCAAGGGCGCTAAGAAATGCAAAGGTTCTTATTTTCATCTTGCTACATTTTTACAGAAAGGCAAGAGTAAGGTATCTGGTTCTGTCCACATTGTCTTTTTTTTTTTTTTTTTTTTCAATCTGGTGAACCCAGAGCTGCAACAATGAGCAGGCTTTATTCAAGAAGACTGGTTAGCAGAAGGCCTAAGAAAACCTTAGAGAGGAAAAAAAAATAGTAGTGCTCAAAAATAGTCAATATAATGCAGCTAAAAAATACAAATGCTGACTTTTTAAAAATTATTATTATTTAAGACAGGCTGCTTTCAAGTGTCTTCCCATTGCCACTCCATTCGTTCTTTTGGCTAAAACCATGGTTACAATGAATACATGTGAACACGCAGTATGTATCTCGGAATTAAATAAGATTTTACAGATTAAATAGGAAATAAAAAGTGTCTGTTCTATGATTCAATAGATATGAAAGGATCTATTTTTTGTTTCAAGGGTCAGCTTCAAGCTGCCAGTATCATTAATAAAATGAAACTCACGGGTGACTAATTTCTCCAACACTTGGGCAGAAGCAAGCAGAACCCTTCAGGAGGCTAAGGGGACGCAGGCGGCCCCTGTGAGCGGACCCCTCACTGCCTAGGGGTATCCATCCCTGTCATCAGGAACCCAAAACGCGTGAAGCCTCGGGAGAACGGCACAGTAGATGCCTTACAAGAGGAAAGCGCGTTTCCAGGACTGAGGTGGGTAAGAGGGAGCGGTGGGCAGGGGCCACCAGGACAAAAGTCCAGGCGGAGGAGAAAGGCAAAGAGGGAGAAGGGCGGGGAAGAGGACTTGGGGTGAAGGAGAGAGAGGACGGGGCGGAGGTGTGTTTGGGGCGGGCGGAAAAGGGGTGCAGGGCGCCAAAGCAAACCTGGGGGCGGAAGGGGCCCGGTTAGCACGAGGGGGCGAGGTGGGAGGGGCGGTCCTCTCCCGGGAGAGGTAGGGAGGACACTGAGAGGCGAGAGGCGC